CAATTACTGGTAGAGAGCCAGGTACAAGTTCTGAAGAGAATAGAGATTCTTCCCCCAAGATTATAAGGAGAGATAAACAGAATCCTACTAACTGGCAAGAGTCACATTTGCGCAGTCACTTTGCTTGAAGTTTGTTGGGCTCTACAAGATTGTTTAATTTCTCGAATCAATTTTTAATATATTTTACCCAGAAAAATATCAGAAATAGAACTTAGCTCACGACTTTTGCATTCTACATAAGTTTTCATTTCTTTAAAACCGATAAAAGTTTCTAAAGATTGACCTAATATGAATTGAGTATAATATGAATATAAATCTGTCATCGATATTTTTGGGATGACATGAAACGAAATTTTCGCAAATAAATTGGGTTCGTTAATGATTCCTTAATATTCATCATCACCATCTTATTAACCGAAATGGAATTCCAACTGCTCGTTAAGGTCTGTCAATCAGGAGAACCCAGGCCATTCTTGTGAAACCTATGTTTAACTTATGATGTGAGAAAAAATTGAAAATGTTCCTGTTGTTTCCCTTTAAGAATACGGCTCTGATGTCCGTTAAGTAGAACATTGAATCTCTCACGATCACTCCCGACAGATAATTCACATTCACCGAGGAGATGAGAGAGTTGTTTGAAATATTCTTTTCTAAGACGAAGTCCCTCCTAGTGATGTGCTTGGCGTATGGGAATGGAAGAACAGACTCGTAGATTGTAGGTCAACGATGAAGAGCTTAGTTTGTATTTTATACCATCAGTTTTGGCTGAAGTGTTCCATTGTTTCGAATCTCTCTTCCTTGTTCCTTTCACAGCATGTCAAAGAAATATTTCTTCCTCTTCATTATGAAGTATTTCAGGAGTTGACTGATTCTTCTACTAGTGGTGGCTTTGCGGGACTATGCATTCAGAGCTGAGAGGTAGAGCTACTATTTGCCGCAATCTTTTAGCTTCCCATTATGCATGATTTCATTTTAGGATTCCTTAACCTAGGTATATTTCCTTATCGAAGGCTTTGAAGAAACATGTTGAGTTATGACTCCATTGAAGATTGGCATATGAACTTTGAGCTCTGTGATTGGCCTTTAACAGTACACTGGTCAACGTTTTTCCTAGAACTAATTCAATGTAGATACCATAAACTTTATAGAATGAAGCATACAAGAGTATTACGTAATCGAATAAGAACATCTGAGAAATTAAAAATCGTCAAGAAATTAGATTGACTAGAATACAATGCAGCTTAATAGCCTTCTAGTAAGTAAGTGGCAAAAGAATACCGGGCACGTATCAGGAATATTTAAAAAAAAGGCGTAAAACATATTCATTAGTTTCCTAGTTTTTATTGATTATATCAATTTTGAAGTTAGTCTCTACAATTGCTGTTTACAATGTGAGGCCGACTATTCTTGGCATCTTTTCCTGATAAACAAAAATCCACGATGTCCTTCTTCTCACAGAAACATTACACGCTGTAGCAGCTTAACGTAAGGATAACGAGCATATCATGCTGGAATATATCGTAGAATATCACGATAAAATTTGGTTACCGGAAGATGATGCATTTAATTATATTATTCAAAAGGCTGAAATGTATGTTAATGATATCAATGAGGGGAAAACTTCAAACATTTTATTTCATCCATTATTTTTAAATGAAACGTGGGGGTTTAAGGGAATATGCAGATCTCTTGTTTACAATTTTAATATTACAGCTTATGGAGATAATTCCCTGAGACGAAAACATCCGCAATGCCATGTTTTCTTTCTCTTGAAAAGAAATGGGTACTTATGGTAAGGCCATTAGTAGTTCTTAAAAATGTTCCATTTCGATGCATGTATAAGCGGTGCAGAGAATCCTAATATGTGAGAAGACCTTCACGACTAACTTAATAAACACCTTTCTAGCACCACACGTTATAACGCGCAAGTTAAGAAAAGCACAGTGTTCAGACACGTTAGAATGTAAAGTAGAAATGCGGCAAAAATTAAATGTAATGATTTTTACATGTATCTAAAAGTTCATAAAATAAGGTAATTGCTTTGCTTCGTTACTCTCATCAGGTTTATTTACTATCCTTTTTTAGTAGGTAAATGATAAATTAATGGATCGTAAAAAATATTTTAAAGAACATATAACAATATTGTATCAACATATGGACATTGATTTTAATTTCTTCTTTATGTATTGTAGTCGCAAGCAGATTGAAAATATACGTACTACTATATAATGCGTTTAAACTACCATTCATTTTCAAGCTCTGCAACAAATTGTTCCTCCTGATTTTAACAACCACTTCTTTCGTTGTATAGATGTTAATGATAGATTACACACGATATCCCCCAAAATTAAACACACTTAATGGCGGCGGGCAAGCGTACAAAATTAAGACAATTTTTTTGTTTCGAAGCTGGAAAGGAGCGTTCTTTTGCGTTCACGGGCGGTTGCAAGTGCCTGGCGCTCGAACGGGAGCCGCGTGTGGGGGCCTAGGACCGCGAGGTTGGCAGCGCGTGACGGGAAGGCCGCGAGGGCCCTGGGCTCCGTCCCGTGGCCGCCACGCGCGCGGCTCCGACGCCTGGACGCAGGGTCGGGGACGAAAACTATTTTTCGGGATTCAAAATAATTTCGTCCAATATGTCATATTACAGATTTTGTAAAATGTCGCAGGCTACACTCAGCTCATGCTGAGATACGATTTTATTCGTTTTAATGATAATCCGAAAATAATTTTTGCTGGAAAGTCTCGTGACAAGATAAAATCAATAGTTACTGAAACATTTTAGGGGAGGAAATTTCCCTCCCCGTGGATCTGCGCCTGCTAGACGACATAGGCGTGCGCATCGTGAATCGAGGTGGACAACTACATTCCTACCCTCCGGGGCGGTTTGTCCATTAAACATTTTATTTATATTAACAAAATATTGTACTAGGAAATAAATATATTATATTATATTTATTCAGTCAAAAAGTAGTAAAAACTGTATGTGATGTAGGAGGGAGAAGATTATCTGCGCAGGTTTTCTTGAGTAAAATGTAATTCAGGGAAAATATAGTAACAACTTTAATGATACAATTAATAAACACTGTTGATTTTATTTTAAACCCTTTACAGAATTCGCAGTAATTTCGGGAGCTTCTTATTACGCAAATATTTAAGAATTGTTACACAAAGTGTATAATGAAACGTTAATAAATGGGGTAATCAGGAAAATCGTTTATATTTACAGAAAAAAATGTTTTATTACGTAGGGCTACGGGGCCTCTTTCGAAAATTACATGGGCCACAGCCCCCTGCACACGCCTTCGCGTGTGACGGTGCCAGACAAGCAGCTCCGGCGGGGTCGGACTGCTTGGGGATGGGGGTACTACAGTAGCTCTGGAAGTCTTATGCTTGACGTGAGTCAAACAACATTATCTGCCACACACTGGCTGTAGTTATTGAATGCAGCTACGCGAATATTTATATTATTCTTCTTGCTTTTTCACAAGTTACACCTGAATTTTAAACACTCCACACTGGAGAAAATTGCCGATTCTCACCCATTCTGTAACGGTACGTGGAAGATCAACAAACCATAGAGAACTCCTAAGTAACTTTACAGGGTGTGATGTAGAAAATTGCATGCGATAGGAGGTGGTTCCGATCCTCCGATATGACGTCACACTCACGAGAGGAAGAGAACGCTCGGCCTTCGAACTCGAAATAATCACAGAGCTGTTGCTGTTCTACTCTATTAAAGTCGGCAATCTTTCCGGTAAAATAGGTAAAGAACTGCCTATGGTAATTCAGTGAGCATATGTGTGTGTTTTATTTCCTCAGTAACATGCACGAAAGTGAGTAATCAGTTCATAAAACATATACATCGTTCAAGTACGCGTTGCTGAAGACGGGTTTTTGTATCTAGCGTCTGTAATTGTGACGTGATTGAGTCCTGATACCACCACGTCTCCCTTCTCCACCATAATACTCGTAACATTCATTTCCATGGATTTCTTATCACTATCCACTTACAATTTTCATTCACTGTCATTTTCCAGATAATGGAAGGAAACGGCAGACGACTACTGCGGCGGAGGCGCCACTCTTTATCGCTTGCAGCACTAACACCTTTCGCCCCCTTATCATTCTACCTGGCGATTGTCAAGGCCGGCGATTGGTGTGACGTCCGAGCGAATAGTTGACATGGGGATGGGAGTCCCCTGACAACCTTACCCCCTCCGAAAACAGGTATGAAGGTAACATTTTTTTGTTTTTCAAATTGTCATATTTATCTTTATTTTGTCATAAAATTGATATCAAATTTATTTTATGCAACTTCAGTAGTTCATTTGTGCAAAATAGCGCTGCGCATTGCATTTTTGATAAAAACTCATTTAACAATTTTTGCAAAATGATTTTGTTGGTCATGTCGTTATTAACATGTAAAATAGTAATACTGAACCGATTTGCTACATAGTTGATCGCATATTCGTTTTGAATCTACGCAATACCGAGAAACTTCATTTCTGGAATACGACGTTTATGGAACATTTCTTTCACCTCAAATTCCGATGGGTATTTTACCCACTCGGACATCGCATCCAGCTGGAGAAACTTATCCTTGGAGAATGTTCTCAATTTATTCTCGAAAAAACGTGTTTTGGAGGTTTTAAGACCAATAAACCCTTTCGATTCATCTCAGCAAGACAAATCGAGTGGCACTATGTTTTGTTATAAAATATTCTGGAATAAAACTGCTTATCGATGATTTCAAGGCAGTTATATATAATTCCTTTAACGCCTTTCGGCATAACATGAAGTGTTATCTTGTTACCATACATCGCGATCACATTATTTAATTAACGATACTTTAAGCGCAAATGTAATGAAAAATAAGAAATATAAATAACATTCCATGCCCGAGGCAACATAATTATGGTTGAAATATATTTTAATTATGAACTCGTTGTACGCCTTTGGACTGGGCCGGTGCGGGGGCGCCGCGCGCACTCACCGATAACGGCCGCCTTGTACTTGATGTTGCCGATGTGCAGCAGCGCCGCCAGCAGCTTGAGGATCTCCCAGATCTCGGCGTCCGTGAACAGCAGCACCTTCATCGCCGACCGGATGTCCGCGAACTCGGCCGCGTCGTCGCGCCCTTCGCACGTGATGCTGCCGCCCTGCGACACACGCCACTAGCCCTCAGGCCCATTCGCACTGCCACGCGTCACCCATGGGCGTACACATCGGCAGATAGAAGCGAAACAAGACTTTCTATTGGCCTTCTTTACTATTGGCTAGATGTGAGAATCGATTTAGAGGTATCGACTATGTACGTGGCTCATATGGCGTTAATTCACCTATGGACTTCGATTTTATTTCGATACTCGATTTTGACTTACTCAAGCATAAGCACAGAAGCTTGCAAGCTTAAGTTAACGTCTTTCATGTTATGCTTATGCGAACGCAAAGTGAATGAGTCCGCTCATGGACGTGGTCCCAACTTTTATGTTACTGCCATACTTACGACATGTATCAATGCTCTTATGTTTGCATTGTGAATGGGTTTTTAGACTCGTCTCACACAAGTCGTATGCAAGCTTTATAATTGCCCCATGTAGTCCCTTGGGTGGCTCATGGACAGCTTTCTTTAGGGCGATCACAAGTTTGATTCCCGGTTGAGGCAAAAACAAAACTAAGTTTCAATTACAATCGTTTCAATTTCTATAGCTATGTGACGAAAGGAAAGCTCAGGCTTGCCAAGTAAGCTAAGTAGGATGATGGCAACACCTCATTCTCGCCATCTAACTCCCTTATATCCAGGCGTGGCAAATAATAATAATAATAATAATAATAATAATAATAATAATAATAATAAAATTTAAAAAACAAGATTCAGACTTGGGAACACAGCTAGCTGGCAAAAGTCGGATTAATTCGATCTTAAAATGTCAAATACGTACATACATAATTATCTTCAGTACCTAGCCTTGTGGACTACATCTGGGACGGATGACATCGTGCAATGGTGGAATGAGAGGCAGGAAAACGGAGGATCGAGCAAAAGGGTTCTTTACGCTCGTTGCCACTGATAATGTTGTTGTTGTTGTTATTATTATTATTATTATTATTATTATTATATACAATATAATATCAAATTACCTTGAAGATACAGCTAAAGGGTCAAATTACACATCCGTTTTTCAACATTTAATGATTAATTAACGTAAAAAAATATTTGAATTGTGTTAAATGCTATCTGGTCACTAAGTATTCACTTGAGAACTTAAAAAACCAGTTGAGTTGCTTCGTGCTTTTTCTTCAAATGTAGACGCTTTAAGTTAACAAAAATAGTTTGTTTTTTAAAATATTTATTTCCTTTTTTCAGTTTTAATATCTGTAATTAGTATTGTAATTTAAATTTTGATATTTTAATTAATCGGTTGTCTATTGTTTTTTTCGTGTTGAGTTCTACTAACAATAATTCTGCCAACGGATCCACTCTGCTTGAGAAGCGTGAAGCCAATGGCCCCAGCCCTTGCGTACGCAACTTGCGTGGGCGGTCGCGAGCAATGCGTACAAATATGTTACGCATATGTACGTGAATGAGCGGGTGCAAAGACGTCAACTATGGTTTAGACTGGCAAGGTCAAACTGGGACATGTAATATTTCTGTGGCCTGTAGAGTCCGTTGAGACATTTTTTATTGAAGTGGATGTCATAAAATGTTGCATTCATTACCTAGAAATCATTACACGTTGGTTGCACAAAAGAAGTGCGAAATGTCTGAAGATACTCTAGTAATCAATCTTTTAATATAGAATATTAGCATTTGATGTACGATGTTTTTTAATTGGTTAATAGAAATTAAACCGTTGGCCGATCATAAATAAATAATTTCTGTCAGAGTCGTGTCTAGGCTCTCGCACCCAAATGTCTTTAAAAAAATGAGAAATTAGTGGAAACCTGAGAAATAGCACTTTCACTTTATAAACATTAGGAATTTGTTAATTCACGTGGTCAAATCAGGCTGGTGCAAATGCTATTCTCATCGCATTGTCCGTATAACGGTCTGTTTCCCCACACAACTATCGTTCACAACCCATCGAACCATAGATGGCCCTAATTTCATAAAAAAGTATTGGCAAGTCAGAAGGCTTCAAGTTACACGCCCTATGTCGTAGTCTACAAAATGATGTCATTTGGGACCTTACGTTATGGGTTAATCGTTTTGAAACTCAGGTTTAAATAATGTTTCATACAAATACTGACTAACATCTTTTCTCTTTATACGGATGATGGTGAAAGACGGCTTTCTATATGCTCAAGTTCTCGCACGAGTACTTCAATACATTTATTAACTTGAAATGATTAAATTATCTCATATTTTAATCATTTTATTTCAAGTATACTTTTAATTATATATTTGATATAAATAAAATTTAAAAAGCCGGTAACATAAGTCTTTAGGCGGCCCGCATCCATTTTAATTGGTTGAAATGTGGCAGAAATGAGTTTAGCACCCCTGATAAACATCAAACAACACTAACCATACAGAAAGCACCGACGATTTAATTACTCCGTAGTCCCTTTTAACCGTCAGATCCCAATTTAGAGACGAGAACTAACACACACTTCAGTTCCCTCGCAAAGAAGTGAATCGTAGATGGTACGGTACAGAAAAATTGATCAAAATATTACTTCCCATCTAATTGATAATGTCACTTCACTTTGTTGAGAATTATCCATATACCTTTTCCGTTAATAAACTATCATTGTTTGTCAAGAACCTATTTGTTTTGTTTTTATTTGCAACTTCAAAATGCAGTTCGGCTTGTGTCCTGTACACACTTTCGAGCTTGCAATAAAATAGGTCTGCACGTTCACAACATTCTAATTAGATCAGCCTTTTTGATAATATCAATGTTTTTCGATCGTACTTTTTAACTTGAGGCGGATATCACCGACCGTGAGGGCTCGATTCTACCCCTTCTGAAAGCACTTCAATTGCCAACGATATAATGAGAAGCGCTTGGTCTGCTAAGAAGTTCAAATACACCGGACCATTCTGGACGCAATTATCAGACCCAAAGATTCCTTTGTAAACCCAGCGCCGTTTCACGTTTCGGGGAATTCGCTCCCGCGGCGAGTCGCGTTTCCGACCGCGTTCCGGGCCGCTGCTCTCTTTTCGTTCTCTTTCCTTTTCGGCCGGGGGGCAGCATTTTTGACTCTCCGCCTCGGACGATTCGGCAACATTTAGACAGTGACGAATCAGGCAAAGGTGGCGCCGTTCACTAGCTCGCTGGCGGAAATATTTTCATGAAATGCCTCCCCGAAACCTGTCCGAGCTGTGAGTTGGTGCCGATCTCCTGAATCGAGGACGATCCTAATATTCGCGCTTTTCAACAAAAAGGAAATAAACGCGCATAAATTAATAAGTTTAAGCAAAACTGGGACGCTTTTTTTTAACATAAAACCGGTTTTTATCTAATTTTTTTGGACAAAAAAGTAAATGATATTCGTATTCTAAATGCCCTATTTTCGAAGGCTCTTTTCCGGCCAATAACCAGCCGCTAGAAATAATTTGACTTTATACTTTTTTATGAAAAACTCGCTTACGTAACTTGGCATTTCGCGGTAATTTAGTATAGACTATTGAATGAACTTTTTCTTGAATCCATGAGTCGTGAGTATGGAAATTATTAATACCCACGTGGTGGTATTTTATAGTATTATTCCAAAAATAAAATCACACCCAAAAGAGATTCAGAATAATCAGATAAGCTAATGAAACTTTGCACTTTAAATGTACACACATTTCTATGTTTTCTGATATATAGCAGCTTACGAATACTGAGTAGGTGGCACGACAAATCGTAAATATTCTTTAGACACACCACCTTTACGCATAACAGTTACATTGTTAAACGCTGCTGGTGTTAATTTCATAAGCGGAATTGTCACAACCGACTTTTAGCAAATGTAAGGACTATATCTTTAGTGCAATACGAAATTATTTTTATTACCATCTCTGCCCCGCCCGTCTACCGGCCCTGTTCCGCACTTGTCCGTCTCGTCTGATCTCCCCCGCTCTCGTCCGTCTGATCTCGCCTCCAGTCGACCGTCTCAGCCCATTCCAGTCTCACCCGGCAAAGCTCCAATAATGCAGTGGCGGTTTTTCGACACTAATTCAACCTAGCGGCTTTCCAGCTAGTCTCTTGGAGGAGAATGACCCAGCACAAAATTGCCCAACAATTCAACATTGCCCAACAATTCAACATTGCCCAACAATTCAACATTGCCCAACAATT